CTACATGTCTATATGATGATATGATATGGCAGTAAATTTGAATCTTGTCTCTACCCCTTATTATACGGAGAAATTTGGAGTAATTGTTTAACTTCTCTACCTTTCAAATCAATCTTTCAGGGTTGTTGTTGGGACTGGAGAGGACATGTATGATAGCCTAGTATATACCAAACCCTCAACAAATGATAGCTATTATGTGGTCATATAAATAAATCATTCTCCATTTTACTTTCTTCAAATAAAAGAACAATATAAGAATTAGAACAGATCCATCCATTAACTATGAGAATATTAATAATTACAACCTAGGATTTTAGAGAAATATCACTCACTCATTCCAAATTGGCTTCTATATAAACATAGTTCTATGCATAAAGGCTGGTATGCAAAGAGAATGGTATTGCAGAGTCCCAGAAGATAAAAAATAAGGAGTTTGAAAAGAGGTTAAATGTCTCCTTCTTTGAATTACCATATAAAATATTGAATACTAGGAGAGAAATAAAAAGGATTCAAAGAAATATTAATTAGAAATGTAAAATAATTTCTCATGGAAGATACATCAGCTGATTTTCCCAAAGAAGGTAAATCTAAACAATGAAATAAATCTCTGGAAGAGAGAGAAAATTGAAAGGAAACTAATATTAATGCCAACACCTCTTAAACAAATCAATCTTGGCTTGATACATAATATAACTTACTGATAAAGAGCACTGATTCTGAAGCTGCAGTGCCTAAGTTAAAATCTTAGCTCTGGTGCTGAGGTACTTTTTGACAAGTTAGTTTACTTCTTAATACATCAAAATAGGAATGATATTAGTACCTATTTCATCACATTGTTGTGATAATTAAATGAGTTAATATATGCAAAGGGCTTAGAACAGGGCCTGCATATAGTAAGTCCTAAACAGATGCTATTAGCAGCAACAGCAATGTCACCATCATCAGTAAAATTATTATTATAGATATAGTGAGCATAATTCTGAGAAGCATCTCAAAAAAGGCAATTTCATACAGCAAAGAATGAATTATTCTTTTGTATAACGACTAATTTGACTATGATTAGTTAAATTGCTTACTGAGAATATTATGTTCATTTGTCCAAAGTCAAGGTTTGATTCTCGTGTGGGTCTGCTGGCTATAGTCCATGACCACAGATTAAGATTCTAATACTGACCAGCTTATTCAATGAATTCTCCTTTTAAAAAGGTGGCTGGTAAGAAAATGTAAGTTGATCAGTCGATACCCTTCAATAACATTAGACAATTCAGTCCATAAATATATTCCTATTGATCATAGATTAGTTCATATGGTCTTCATATAAAATTCTGGAATTAGAAAAATACTTAAAGATAATCTCGAGCCAAATCTTTTAATTTATAGGGAAAAAAATAAGCTCAGAGACAAAAAGTCACTGAGTAAATAAGATCACATGATTGCTTTATGGCAGAGCTAGAACTCTTAGCCTATGTTTTGTTCCATTTTGTATTTCCATTACCCCACATTTATTAAATCCAGAATACTTTTACCTCTGAGAACTTGTTTTTTTAAGTCTGTTTTTCTATCATTGTAGTTTATTATTCCATTATAAAAACTTCAGTCCAATGATAGAATGTGGGAGTTGAAAGACCTTTGTAAAAACTTTGTTATGAAAGAGATGGAAAGGCATCTCACAATATTGAGCATGTAAGGTAAAGAGTGACATTACCTGACTCAACTTTTTTAAAGATCGGTTTGCCTTCTATGTTAAAACTAGATGGCCGGGAGAGGGAAGGTCAATTAGCAGGTTATTGCAATAAGCCAAGTGAAGGATGATGGTGGCTTGGACCAGAATGATAACAGTAGAAGTGGTGATAAGTTGTCCAAGTCTGGATAGGTTTTGAAGGTAGCGCCAGTAAAAATTCCGGATACATAGCATGTGAAGTGTAAGGGAAAACAGGAGTCATGGAGACAAAGGCATAAAATCTTCATTTGAGAAGTTCTAATTTTTTTTAATTAAATCTCTCCTGCTGTAATCTATACCATGATTTACTTCTTTTCATTTGTATTAAAAAAGGTCAATCACCACCTACACAATACACTCCTGTGACTATGACAGCAGCCAGAATCATACCATGTATTACAAAAGAAACTGACATCAAAGGAGGTTTGACTGCATTACCAGGGTAGCTACAAGTGGTAGCTTGAGGCTAAAGTGGAACATTCTGGACATGTCTGCTGAAATGAGGGAAACAGCCCACCACATATCCATTGGCATGAGTGACAGAGCAGCATTTAGGATAGAATTCATCCCACAGGAAGAGGGAAAATCAATCAACTGAAAGGAAGGCTAATTCTAAGTAGGGCATAGTGTCACTACCTGTCTTTGTCCCCAGCTCAGCACCCTATAGACTCATATCTGGATGTCAGGGAAGGGAGAGAGAACTGTGAGCAAAAAATTGTAAAAGGCTGTTTTCATCAAAATCCTCTAAGATGTAGGATTAAAAGTCAACATCACCTTGATAGACCCTTGTGGAATATAGCCCAGAAAGGCAGAGAGGCACTTTCTCTCAATTTGGCAGAGTGTGGCATAGCTTCACCATCTCACGGATTCTGTGTGTCAGTGACAGCAACCACTGGCACAGGGAGAAGTGTCCTTGGAAGCTCAGGGTCATTATGACAATAGCTCTTAGGGTTTGTCAGTAGGACCAAGCAGAGGTGGAGCCGAGAAGAGGAATAAAAGAGGTAGATATCACATGAAACTGACCTCTTCATAAGCAAGCACATGTGAGACTCTCAGAAATGCTTACATGCATTCGGTTGCATTATTAGGAGGTAAGCAAGCACCAGAGAGCTTAAATAGCCATTACCATCCCTGCTCAGCTTTTAAATAATGATGATGGAATAAATTTTTATTCTACTTGGATAAAGAAAATGTGTACACACACACACACAAACACACACACACACACACATGCACCATGGAGTACTACTCAGCCATAAATAGAAATGATGTTTTTTGCAGCAACTTGTATGGAACTGGAGACCATTGTCCTAAGTGAAGTATATCAGAAATGGATAAACAAGTACTACATGTTCTCATTTACAAGTGGGAGCTAAACAAGGGGTATATATGGTCATAAAGTGGTGAAATAGACATTAAAACTAAGAAGGGGGGAGAATGGGAGGGAGTGAAGGATAAAAATCTACCTATTGGGTTCAATGTACACTATTCTGATGATGGATACACTAAAAGCCCTGACTTCAGAAATATATAATTTACCCATGTAACAAAAACCATTTATACCCCTAAATCTATTGAAATTTTAAAAAGTTATTTGTAAAATAAAATCTAAAAAATATTTATACTCCAATTACACACAACAGCACTTTGTGCAATTATACATCATAATTAGACAGTCTATACACCCCAAAGCTCGCGTTTGCCATGTCTGTTCAAGATTTCCAGAACCTGAGTAGATAGCCTCTTTGAGGATATTAAAGAGAATAAATTTTGCAACACAGACTATTGTTTTGTAAATTATAAAAATGAGGGGTTTTTTTGTGGTTTTTTTTTTTTTAAACAAGCACCCTTCATAAAAGCAGTCATTTTATATAAGCAACAGAAAGGACTGGATATCTGTACACCATCTGTCTTGGTGCATCTAGTAAGAACATTACTCCATGTAACACTTCAACAATGCTACTCACATGTTTTTCACTCCTGAAAGAAATAACATACCTTGTTTAAATCCTCCTTCTTAAAAGGCCTGCATTCTTATGAACATTTTAAGTGGCTTCACAAAACTGCTCTATGTCGAAGAAGCCAAATTGACTCTTCTTGCCAGTGAGCCAATTTTACCCACATTCAGCAATTATCTTAATTATGAATTATACTTTGATCTTGGCTCCATGCTTCCTCGTGCCTGGAGAGTATCTCTTTGTTTCTTTATTCATTTTTTTGTATTTCTATCCTATATTCTTCTTAAAAGTCTCTGAAGTGTGTCTTATACCTCTAATTCCAGATGATGGGAAGATTATTCTTACTGCTATTACAATTATAACCACAGCACAAGGACAAAAGGAAAAGGTCCAGTGAGAATGTCTACACCATTAGTACCCAGCTTGCCAGAGCAGAGGATCAGTGGTTGAGGTCCTTCAACCACTAGATTGCAATATGTTTGTAATCTAGCCAACAGAAGAAATGGAAGGAGGTGAAGAGATCTGGAAGGTGAGTGTGACAGGGTTGAAGACCACTGGAGGCTTTCACTTAGGTAAAATTAGTAGGTTCCTTGAAAAATTTGAGCAGTTCTTTCATGCAATATTAGAAGATGGCAAATAAACAAGATACCTGTTAGGTCAAAAACCCCACAAAAAACACAATGATATTGAAAATCTATTGTCACACACATACTTATGACCTAGAAAGAGTGCAGAGATTTTGGGACCTACCACCTACAATTTCAGATATCAAGTGCTGAAAAGCATCCATATTAGCCCTCCATAAGTGTGACAAGAGATTATGTTATCAAGTCCCACAGTTCAGCTGCGTATCTTTACTTGCATTAGACCAACTCTGTACATTTCAAACCTTAATACACGTTTTCCATTTTCACCGCTGCCCTTCATCCACCAATACCCTGTTAAGATATCTATGCTTAGGAAGTAGGAAGACATACACATTGGCTTGGGAGTGGGCAAAGCAAATGAAAACAATGATTCTCCAGGACAAGACACATTCTGGCAAATAGCTTCCCATCTTTTTCTGAAGAAGTCTCACCATCTTATTATCTACTGCTCTGCTCTTACCTGTCAGGAAGGTGTCAGTATGCCCACCAGCAACTACATCCAGAACTAATGTTCAGCTCAGCACTGCAGTGCCCACTTTGAAGACAGAAAGTCCAGTTTTGTGAAAGGAAGCATATGTGTGTCAAAGTGTGTATGTGTACGTGTGTATATGTGCATGTGTATGTAGGAGAGAGAGAGAGAGAGTGAGAAAGAGCGAGAGAGAGAGAGAGATTTACCTTCCAATAAGGGAGAACTCGCCCACAACACCAAGGCGCCGCATGGCACTCAGGAGTCCTCGGACAGTCATGCCTTCGCAGAAGCAGACCACCACTCTGGCCTTGGGAAGCCGCTCTCGGAGCTTGCGCAGGAGTCGGTCAAAGCTCTTCTCCCCAGCGTTGCTGTAGATTTTGTCAGAATGGGCAATGCAGAGGCCTTCCTGGGCAGCCAACTCTTTGAAAGCGTCCATTCCACTCTCCCCATAATTCCCTGTCCAGAAACAATCAGCAGATGTTCAAGACAACCATAGCAGCAATGCCACTTACAAACTGGAATAAGGACTTGTTAGTCACAGGGAATGGAGAGAATAGATTTGCCAAATAATTTGTAAATATAACTAGGACTGAAAGAAGATCTGGCTGGATTAAAGAGAGTAATCAAATGTAACTAATCAACTCTGGAAATAATGAGAAATTACCTAAGCTAGGGCATTCACGATGAAACAAGTTTTGTGAAAAGAAGGATTGCTGGTCTATTGTACAAGCATGATTAATAGCGGTTGTCCCAGAATTTAACCATGCAGGAGAGATCGACACATTGGGCTGGGGAGATCATACCAGCACAAGGGGAAGGCCTGTTTCTTTGCAGACTCACTTCAGCTGGCTGCCAGGATAAGAGGCAGCCACTCGGGGTGATACAAAGCCCTGCAACATTTCCATGAAGAGTGAGTAGGCAAAACAAAGGAACACCTGACCAGGCGGGAGATCAGTAGACCAGACACAGCTGGAGGGCTTAGTCAAAATCCACCATCCTCTGACTAAGCGATGGGATTATGGGAGATTTGTGCCTTATATTTTGGTTTGTATTGTATATTATTCTTATGATAAACTACACTTAAAAAACTGAAAACTCATAAAAATCAATGAAATAAAAGAAACATCACATTTTGCCAATTCCCCATCTCTCTAGTTCCCTGACGACTTTAGCCCCTATCTTAGGAGCCTCTAGCTCCCTACTCCTCTCCCCAAGTTTGGGGATTTTACTGCCCATGTGGGTGATGCAGCCAATACTATGTTCTTGCAGTTCCTCAACCTCCCCCCTCCATTGATATTTCCTGCGACACACACACACATCCATGGTCACACTTTTGACCTTGTTATCACCGATGTCTATGATATCTCTGAATGCAGTTGTCAAACATCTCAGACTCTGTTTCCTCCTATTATCTTTCAAGCTCATATATTCTACTGCCCTTACTGCAATATTTCTTCAACTTCATAAAAAACTTCAACCCCATTAACCTTGCTAGTTTTTTCCATCTTCCCTCTCATTGCCCCCTTAGCCCAGCTTAGATTTCATGTTCTACCCTCATAATCACTCCCTTGCAAATGCCTTAACTCCCTTTTGTTTTCCTAACAAAACCCTAGTGCTAGTTAAACTCAACCATCCACCTATTCCATGTGTACACCTGGGCATTTAAATGTGGCTGGAAAAAAAACTCACCACTTTGCTGACTGGTTTTATTTAAAATCCATGAGCACACATATCAAAAGGGATACTCAATTGTAAAAGGAAATTATACTATATAATCCCTGTAAATAAATTTTCTTAGTCTTTAACATGATTATTTCATCCTTACTCTTCTCTCTTCAAATCTCCAAACTACTGGCCCCACTCCACCCCACATCTCAGCTGGGGTCCTCATCTCCTATTTTAATAAGAACACAGAAACAATTAGACAAAAACTAATTCAGCTACCCACTACAATATCTACAAACATTTCTTCATTGGCGTTTATATTCTCTGGAATTTTTCTAGTCCAGTTACAAATTTGAAATGTGTCTGCTTCAGGATAGAGCCAGTCCCTGCTCACAGGCACTAGATCCCACTACCTTCATCTATTCAAGGATTTTCTCCTGCAGTTAATCCCTTTCTCTTGCATAATCAATCAAAAAGAAAAACATCCCTGGACTCATTGCCTCACTTAAGGTCCTATCTCATTTGCTAATCCAGTTCACAGCAATAATAGTTGCCTCAGTCAATATATTTGTTTCTTCATCTCACATTTCCTTTTTTTTTTAGTTGAAGTGCAATTGATGTATAAAACATTGTACACATTTAATGTGTACGTCTTGATGAGCTGGGCCACATGCAAACCCTTCACCTCCTATAAAAATCTTCTATTGTCAAGGTCACTGGTAATCTCCCTCCTGTCACATCTCATGATCTGTTATCTGTCTTCATCTTCATCCCCCACCAAGCTGCATTCAACGGTTAGTCATACCCTCCTTGAAACATTTTATTTGCTTGGTTTCTGTGACACAACCTTCTCCTCGTTTCCTTACCATTCACTGACCCCTCCTCAGTATAGTTGCTGGATTTTCCTTCTCTGCTTCCATGAATGTTGTCATGCTAGGATTCTGTGTCCTAGGAAACTTTCTCTTCTTCATCTATACTCTTGTCCTATGTACCCCCATTTAGTTGCATGCGTTTAAATACCATTTGAATACCACACTTAAATTCCAAATATGATCTTAGACTGAACTGCCCCTTGGAGCAAAAGACTAGTTTATCCAATTTCCTGCCTGTTATATTTGTTTATAGTCATTTCAAACTTACAAATCTAAAAACCAAAATAGAAATTTTCCCTTCTCAACCTTGAACATCTTCTCCTTCCAGACATCTCCTGTTAGTAAATAATGCCTTTACCCACCAAGTTGCTCAATAACAAGATTTAGGAACTGTTTTGATTTCTGTCTTTTCCTCATATTCCAGACTCATTCTGGTAGACATTATTCCTGGAGCATTTCTAATCCATTCCCTCTCCTCTGTTTCAACCTCTGCCACCCTAAACTATGGGTTAGGCCAGGTTCCCTATAAACAGAGCCTGAGATGAAGATCCTTATTCAAGTAACTTATTGAAGAAAAGAGGAGCAAGGGAAGCAGGGAAGGACAAGAGGACAGAGCTAAGCAGAAATGTCATCTCAGCTAAAGATCAGCTTCAGGCTGCTCCCACAAGGAAGTGCAAATGCACCTGATATCATAGCATTAACCCCACCTTCACACAAGGAAGCCTCCCCATCAGTCAGTCATTGGCTAAGATCTACAAGAGGAGAGAGGAGGCATAGCTGCTCAGGAAGGAGACAACTGGGACTGGTAGAAGCCTTCTCTCATAGTAGAAAAGGTGCACCCAGCAGCTGGTGCACCCAGCAGGTAAAGGGAATCTAGATAGGCCACCAACAGCTTCTTCTATAACAAGTAACTATCAGCTCTTTTCTAGACAGCTGCCCTTGCTTCCTGATTCTATCCCTGTTCCCACTGTGGTTCCCAATGATTCGTTACACATTTAGCAACCAAAGTCATCTGTTAAGGCATAAATAAGATTAGGTCACCCTTTTATGGAAAACTCCAATTGTTTCCCAATGGATTGCATTCCAATCTTGAAATGAAACTATTAATAAAACTCCTTCCCTGAACTCCCTAGCTGCATATTAACTGAATCCAATTTTCTGGCCCCATCTCTTCCCAATTCCATTCCCTCACCTTCTCTAGCCCCATGGCCATCTTTCTCTTCCCAAACTCATCCATGCCTCTGTGTTTCCATCACCGTAAAAGATCCTCTGCTACCCGATGTTCTTTTCGATCATATCTCAACAAAGATATCACCTTCTCTGAAAAGCTGCTTCTGATCAGTTACCTTAAAATAGACTCCCGGTAAATCCTGAGCATGCCCTCTGTTTTTACATCAGTATATTCATGTGTTGTTTAATGACAAGGATACATTTGAGAAATATGTTATAGGGTGAATTTGTTATTGTACAAACATCATACAGTGTACTTGCACAAACTTAGATGGTACAGCCTACTATACATCTAGGATCTATGGTATAGCTTATTGCTCCTAGGCTATAAACATGTACAGCATGTTACCATACTAAATACTATAGGCAACTGTAACACAATTGTATTTGTGTATCTAAACATATCTAAATATAGAAAAGGTATAGTAAAAATATGACATTATAATCTTATGGGCCCAACATCATATATGTAGTCTGTTGTTGAATCAAAATTTTATTATGTAGTACAATACTGTAATATCACTGATTTGTTTTTTATATTTTCCTCTTCTTCCTAGACTGTAAGCTCCATGAGGACACTTTTTATGATATATCTTTAGTATTCAGGATAGTTGTAGATACTTAAATGCACAGAAAAAGTGCATTTATTGTAATAGCCCAATAGAGAAATAGACACAAGTTATAAACAAAAGCAATTTAAACCAAATAAGTAAAGGTGGGTAAAAAGTATATGAAAAAAATCACTAACTTTATTACCAAGAGTACCTTTAAAACAAGACACTATTAGAATGCCAGAATTTCAAAGATAAATAATACTCAATATGGCAAGATATAAATATGTTCACTCATGATGAAAACAGTTCAAACTTTTAGTGGACAATTTGGCTGTGGTTTTCACATTTTTTAAGATAAATATCAGGTAAATGTAACAATTATTTAGTCCAAATAATTGTGAAAACAATGATAGTATTAAAAAAAAAGATTTTAAGACTTAAATTTCAATGTCTATAAAAGTTTCATGAGCATTGTAATGAAACCTAATAAGATATTCCTGTATGTTTGAAAGAAAGAAAAGCTTTCTTATTTCCTTTTTTATAAGATTAAATGATCAAATTAATGTATTTTCCTCCTAATTCAACCACTTTCAGTGACCTAATTCAGTCCAGTGAAGCCCAAATGGAAGCATTAACACATCACAAAATTCCTCAGTTCCATGGACTGTGGAAGCATGTCACAGTCCAGACAAGAGACACTGACTGATTATAAGGCAGAACACTGCAGCTGGCAAGTGAATGCCTCCTTCATCTGCAGAAGGGGGCATGAGGAAGGAAGTCAGAGAGGCTTCTTTCTCAACAATAAATGCAGGTTCAGGAATCTACAAGGTAAATAGACATCACCAGCAGACTCTCTCAGCAAAAGTCACTGTCAGTCTGTCAGAAGGTTATGTTACAAGGAGAATAACTTTACTGCTAAGGTGCCCACCCCTGCACTTCAATCACAAAAATGATTTTGCTTCTTTATCAAAACACCTGCAGGTTAAATGAGCAAGAATGTTCTCTGCATTAGAATGAGGAAATCCTTACGTTTTAAATCTAGTAAAGGCCTTAGACACACTCGGTACCAACCCCTCAGTTTACAGACAAGGAAATTGAGGCAGAGAAAGGTGAAATTGTCATGAATGGGCATGAGGCTTGCTGATGTTAAAACTGGAACAGCTCTACATGCTCTGACTCTTAGGTTACTGCTTATTTCTCCTAATAACAAAAAGCAATTAAATGTGTATGTTTTGATAATTTAAAATGTCTGAATAGGTCAATTGATTCCATGAAATGTTTGTTCAAGTTTCTGAATGTACATGTTCTTGTTTGGGCAGCAAGTCTTAACTATATAGAAATTGAGGCAGAGCTAAGGATTACACATTGGACTATGTTTAGACTGCACATTTCTCTCATGATGCTTAAAAGGCTCCAAACTCATGTATAAATTTCTATGACAGTAGCCCTAATGTATGAAGAACAACAATAACTTGTACTTTTATAAATCTTTATACTTTAAAAATTACATTTGTCAACATTATCTGATTTGGTTGTCAAAACAACCCTATTGTACCCATTATATTGATCACAGTAGTAGATGTAAACAGCATAAGAAATGAAAGGGAAACCATCCCCATTGAGCTTAAAATTGCCTTACTTTAATTTACTAACAACAGAACTAATGGCATGACAAGGACAAGTACAAGTAT